TCACAGATAGTCAGGCCATGGGACGAACACTGGAGAAAACACCAGGTTGCCTGTCCTCCTCACAGGGTCCGGGAGGATGGGTGAGCGCCCAGTGAGAGGCCAGGCAGGATGGAAAACCAGTGTCAAGGACAGCTGGACAGTGTTGCAACTGGGTGGTGTGGCAGTGCCTGATGTTGCAGCCTGGAGATAAAGGTGTCCTGGGGAGCTGGGGACAGAGCCAGCTGCCAGAGTTAGTGCTGCTTGATGTGTTGATGGCTCCCAGCATCAGTGTCCATCTGGGAGGTGCTGCCTGCCTTTGCCTGGTGCAGGCAGGCTTGCAGACCATGCATGGTGCCCAAGGGCATGCTGATTTGGCCCTACACGCTTCATTCCCCTGCTGTCATGCCTGTACATTGTGTATTTGCTGTGCCTCTACCTTTTTCCTTTGCTTCTGCTGGGTGACCCCAGGGGCAGCTGGCCTAACCTGATGTGATGGGATCAGGTGCTCTCCATCCTGCCACTTGTGTACTGAGGACATGCTTGTGTGCACAGGGATGGCCCCAGGTCAATGTGCGTTGTCTGCTGCACTGGAGGGAAAAAGAATGTCCACAGAAGCAGTGGAGTGAAGATCACTCTTAGCTACAGTTTCGCTGTGCTGAGCTTCAGGCACATCTGTGAAACCTTCTAGGGGCCGGGCTCAGCTGGGCTCTGGCTGCAGAGCCTGAAGTGTTAGTGCAAAGCACACAAAAATGCAGCTTGCTTTTGAGGCAAAATCAAGTTACAGCGCAAGGGCGATTTTGAGGAGTTGGTCGCAGTTCAGGTTGTAGGATTGGCATCAGCTTCCTAAGTCCTTCATTTATAGAAATGTTCTTGGACTTTGGGCTTGTTTGGTTTTTCGACCCTCCAGAGGCAAAGTGTTGATAATTACAACTGTTGTCATCTGCCTTAAATGCACCTGTATTATTCCCAGGATGCAGTCTTAGGATCTGAGGGTTAAAAAATAGCTAAAAGTAGCTCAAAATTATAAAGCTGAGAGCTTGTGAGGGAGCTGTCAGAGGCAAGATAAAGGTCACGGTCTTTTCTGCAGCTTCCTGGTGACTTGGCAAAGCCACTCTGACTCAGCTTCACCTGTGGAAAATTAAGGTCTTTGATATGATTTTGTTACTTTTGCAGTGCTTTGTAAACATACTGGCTTTTAAAAAAACATGCCGAGGCCCTGATGGAAAATCAGAAAGGCTCTGGTGAGACAGGCACCACCTCACCATCCAGGGGCAGCTGAGTATTATTAAACCAGGTGGGCTCTCTTAGCCTGCCTACCCACAGGAGGCATTTAATTTGTGTGGAAAGTGTAGAGGAGTGAGGAGCTGAGACAAGGTTGTAGTCTATAGAGAGCAGAGGAAAGTAAACCCCATCCTTGGTGAGAAGCATGTCTCCCTGTGCGACAGGGCTGGAGCAGGTTCTAGGGTTGGGTTGTATTTGGGGAGCCCCTTCCTTGGGCAAAGTATTTACTGAGACTGCTTTCTGGCTTTAAGCAGATTCTAAATTTCTTGGGAAAGACCTCAAAAGTGGTGGTGTGCTGTGCAGCCAGTGTTATTTATTTACACTGTTACCAGGTTCCAGCTATGGGCAATGCAGTCTTTTACAGGTACATGTGAGGAAGGAGACTGTTATGTGGACAAAGGTATCTCCTCCAGTGGAAACACGTGTCGTGGCATGTCCCTGCCATAGTTGCAGAGGTGTAAGCTGCTGTCCTATGTTACCAGGCAAGCTGGAGAGTGCTGTGAGTTGCTTTATTTTTAGGTTTTACTGCTGATTCAGTGCAAACCATGCAGCGTGTCTGGGCTGCTCAGCTTCCTTGGAGCACATCCCTGTCCTGCTCAGCATGGGCAGTGTGTTGGAAAGTCTGTTCTTCCTCAGAGGTCTTCTTACTTCCCTCAGTGCCTGCAGGGAAGGGAGAGATGTTACATCAGTGGCTGCTGCTGATGGAGGCAGGGTGTGAGTCACTGGGGACAAACAACACAGCGGTGTGCTCCTGGGGGGTTGTTCAGGGCACGGAGAGGTGCAGTAACTGGGGATTTTCTGTGAATGTTTCTGGAGATGGTGGGAGTGACCAGCATCCTGCTCAGACCCACCCAGTTGGCCTTTGAGTTTCAAGCAGAGTTACAGCTCTGCTGCTCCAGGTGCTTGTGCTACTGTGCTTTTGGGGAGGTAGACTGCCTCTACAAGCACCTACATGCTCTGCGGGACAGGAGGAAGACTTTCTGAATGAGTGCCTTTTCTCAAGGCTTTTATCTGAACCTGAGAAAAACAACACGCACAAACTTCCCATCAGGGACC